CTCGATCCCAGGACCCTGGGATCATGACCTGAGCCGAAGGCAGACACTTAACCAACTGAGCCACCCAGGCACCCCTCATATATGTATATTTTTAAAGATTTTATTTATTTGAGAGAGAGAACAAGAGAGAGAGAGCACATGAGAGGGGGGAGGGTCAGAGGGAGAAGCAGGCTTCCTGCCGAGCAGGGAGCCCGATGCGGGACTCGATCCAGGGACTCCAGGATCATGACCTGAGCCGAAGGCAGTCGCTTAACCAACTGAGCCACCCAGGCGCCCCCCCCCCATTTTATTTTTTAGAGAGAGAGAGAGGGCATGAGTGGGTGGGAGGGTGGGAAGGAGCAGAGGGAGAGGGAGAGAGAGAATCCTAAGCAGACTCCATGCCCAGCGTGGAGCCTGATGTGGGGCTTGATCTCACGACCCTGAGACCATGACCTGAGCTGAAATCAAGAGTCAGACACTTAACTGACTGAGCCACCCAGGCGCCTCTCACCCCCATTTTAAAGATGAGAAAACTGAGGCACAGAGAGGTGGTCCTGTGGCTAATAAGTGGTAGAGCCAAGATAGAAACCCAGGCAGTTCAGCTCCAGAACTCTTATTCTTAATCACTGGGCTAGGTGTGCCCTGAGACCCTGGTTGTCAATTTATTGATGGGAAAGCTGTGTGACAGTATCCTTAAAATTCATCCAGGTGGTGTAGGACAAAAGACTTATTTGTTAAAACCATTTATTTTTTTTTTTCTTTTTCAAGTTTTTATTTAAATTCCAGTTAGTTAACATCTAGTGTAATATTAGTTTCAGGTGTAGAATTTTGTGATTCATCACTTCCATACAACACCCGGTGCTGATCACAAGTGCCTTCCTTAATCCCCATCACCCATTTAACCCACCTCCCCTCTGGTAACCATCAGTTTGTTCTCTGTAGTTAAGAGTCTGATTTCTGGTTTGCCCCTCTTTAAAACAACTGTTTTTCAAGGCAAAATAAATAAAGAGGAAGAGGAGAATCAACAGGTTAAAAGATTTAAGTCAATTATGTTTGGACTTTGAGTCCTATTTCAAATAAACTAAAAAAAAGACAATTAGGGGAATGTGAACTGCATTTTTTTCTAATATTAAGCGGTTATTTTAGGTGTAATAATGATACATGGCCTTGTCCAAAAGAAAAAAAAAACAGAATGCTTACCTTTCAGAGATAGATGCTGATATATTTACAGATTATATGCTGTCTGAGATTTGTTCAAAATAATCAAGAGGATGGGAAGTGAGTGGGGATATAAATAGAACAAGATCACCCATGTTTAATAATAGTTGAAGCTGGATGACGACTGCATTTGAGCTCATTATACTCTCTACTTTTGTTTGGAACTTCCCATTATAAAAAGTTAAAACAATCACCCTGTTTGAATGTTTATTATATTCTCTCAGAAATGTTGAAAGCACCTACTTCACAGGACTAGTGGGAAGAATAACAGTCCATAGGGAGAGAATGGGTGGAACGCTGCTTAGAAGAGTGTCATTTATTTGAAGATGACCCCCAGTGCTGTTCATGTGGCAGATAACTTAGTAGATTCTTCCAGACTGCATGAATGCATGAGCATATGAATGAGTGAATGGGAATGACTGGTGTACAGTGAGTTAGAGGATGATTCTGTCCTGAGATCAGGAAGAGGATCTAACTTCGGGGCCAAATATAATGATAAAATGATTCTGTATGCTTCCCATTTAATGAAATTGTGTACTTAAGGGCAGCTTTATCTACTACAATCATAATAAGGACTAAAAATACTCCTCCACCATTCCCCTTTATTCTGGTAGACAAACACACACGAAGAGATTTACTAACACAAAAATCTTCACTCTGGAGTGATGTCCCCATCACCACACCTCTCAGAGCCCATGCTCTGCTCTGAGCTCTAGTGCCATCCCAGAATCATCCCAAGTCTTCTGATTATCTAACCTTGAGTTCCCTGTGAGGAACCAACATCATTACTCGCCTGGCTCCGGGATTATTTGTAACCTGTGCCTGCCAGTCCTAACATAGCATTCCTATGGCCACAGCAATTGTTTCAGGATGGGCATTTGACGCCAAGTCAATCAGCCCCAGTAAAAATGAATCCTGGGACTTTCGTTATGAGTGACTGGAAAAGAGACACATACCTTGCCTTTGAACTTGAAGTTGGGAAGAGATATGCCTACCTGAAGGGAGGGCCTCCCTGATAAAGCAGAGTGGAGAGATATCAGATTATGAGGACAGCAATTTGAACCCCTGGGTCCAGCTGTACCTGAAGCCATACAGTGGACTGCATGTGGTTTGCTAAAACTCTGAAATATAACCTACACAATCTCATAGTAGCAAAGCACATACGGAATGAAGATTCTATTTTAAGCCTAGTGTTGCTAGGAAAGAACCATTAACTTTTATTCTCTTGTATTTATTTATAAACGATAGGTGTAGACAGAGTAGAAGATTGTCTCCATTCCAGTGGTTAGATAAGGCACTGACAGAGATGAGGATCAATGTATTTATCATTCCATGCATTCTTCCCAAGCACTGAGGGCAACCAGGTGACTAGACAGACTCCCGAGCAGGTGAAACCCAAGGATGCTTGAATGTCTTGCCCCTGTGTGTGGGAAGGTGACTTCACCCTGAGTGCTCGGCTGCCTGGCTTATGCTTGGTGGTGGCATCAGACAGATCCAGATTGTGGTGATGAGTAACTCTGGGCTTTCCCCAGCTTCAGACACAGGATGAGGTCACATTTTATCTTTCAGACTCTAAATGCCCCAAACAGAGCATCTGAATGGAATGATTGAAGCCTAGCCTGTGGGTCCTAGGAATGTTCAACAGTAATTCACATTTAGTGAATCCAAATCTCTGGGCTTGGTGTTATAGATCAGGGTTGACAATGTGTCTCTTTGTATAATGATGAGAATATGTATCATTATACCATTATACTGTGAGACCTTGGGCAAGTTACTGAACTTTTCTGTTTAATTCCCTCACCCTTTTATAAAATGAGAATAATAATAGTACCTACCTCATAGGGTTGTTGTGAGGTTAAATAAGTTATTACCTTTAAGGACTTTGAATAGAAATTGGCACCTTGTAAATGTTAACTATCATTATTACTGAAAAATAATAATTTTCTGCCTCAGACAGATATTTCCTCTAGAACCTGGATATCTGAAACAAGACAAAGAAAAGGCAAAAATATGAGGATTTATGAAAATTGTGAAATACTCTGTGAGAGTGTGCAACACTTCTCAGGTATAAGACTTTGAAGTCATGTGTTTTAGCTTTCTGAGGTATTCAGTCAGTTGGAAAGCTTGACTGGAAGTTTCTTTTTTTAAAAAAGATTTTATTTATTTGAAAAGACAGAGAGCGAGCACAGAGGGAGAACGAGACGGAGAAGCAGGCTCTCTGCTTAGCAGGGAGATCATGACCTGAGCGGAGGACAGACGCTTAACTGACTGAGCCACCCAGGCGCCCCTTCATTGGAAGTTTCTTAACAGGGGATGAAGACATTGTTTTTGTTTTTTGTTTTTTTCCCCTAGGGTTCTGCTAGGTGACCAATCACAGGCAAGCTAACTACAATCTTGTAACCACACCTACCCAGACAGTGGTTTCTGTACATCTCAATAGTTAAGCTGGTAGGGGTTTGAGAGAGTTCTTTGAAATATCCAGGTGGCACAGGAAGTGGTAGTAATTCAAGACTTGGATCCAACATTAGCCAATGTCTCAAGGAGATGATGAGGGCTGATAGCAAGCAACCCTTAGGGTTTCAGAGATGAAACGGTTTTGATTTACATTTGTAGAATGCTGTTAGAATTTTTTCCCCTCCCTTTTTTCCTTCGTCTTCTCCCTTTCTCTCTGTGTGTCCCAGGAAGTATATGCTCCCCTCTCCAGAAATAACCACTTTTACCAGTTTGACATATATTGATTCCTTTTTCTGTATGTTTGCACACACACTTAGAAACTGTTTTGTAAAGGGTTTTTAAAAAATTTTTATAAATGGGCTATTTTGAGTTGCCATCTAAATTATTTCTCTTTAAAGATTATTTATTTATCTGAGAGAGAGAGTGAGAGTGAGAGAGAGAGTGCACAAGGAGGAGCAGAGAGGGAGGGTGAGGGACAAGCAGGCTCCACGCTGAGCGCAGAGCCCAATGTGGGGCTCCATCCCAGGACCCTGAGACCATGACCTGAGCTGAAACCAAGAGGTGGACACTCAACCGACTGAGTCATTCAGGTCCCCCAAAATTATTTCTTTCCACTTAAAATGCCTTTTCATTCCATGCCAATACATACAGATTGATCTCTCTTTTCAATTATTGCTTATTATTGCATTATCTGGGTGCACCATAGTTTATCATCACTTGATAGAATTTGAGCTGCTTTCCATTTTTTGCTCTTGCAGTCCTTCAGTAGCCGTCTCTGGGCACACGCAGAGCTTTTTTGCCATAGGGCACATTTAAAAATAACTTGCTGAAACTGTTTTTAGATTTATAGAATGCATTTTCATTTCACTCTAAAATTTCCCAGTAGCTATGGGGGCCTTGGTGGGTTTGAGCCTTTGGATAGCCTTATTTTATTGCTGGTTAAAACTGTTTCCCATTTTTTCAACAAAATATGGCCAGATCATGTTGATGGCCACAGAAAGGTGAAATGTACATATCAGTATGACATTCTCTACTCTTAAGACCCATCTACAAGTGCGTGATAGAGTGGCAACCAAAACGTTTGTTGAAATCCTCAGGATTTCAGAGGTAATTTCCTTCACTGTGTGTAGCCTGGCAACATTTTGGACCATTATAAAATCAACCTTTTTTATAAGCACCAGGACCATTCATTTTAAATTGTCTGTTGAGTACCCTTTGCTGGCAGGTCTGTAGCTGAATGCCCGTCTCCACAAGGTGCTCATCATCTGTATTTGTGGTTAGCGTCCTGCACCGCCTGGACACCTCACTAGCATTGTTTAATAAAACATTTCTATTTTAAAAAACACCAGGTCAGATCTGCTGAGTCAGATGCGATATCCTTCAACTGCACAAGCTCCACCACAGGGATTTGGGAAGTTTATTATCGGACACAAATCTGTCGGGACTCCTCTGCTGCTGACTACCACAAGGAGCTAAGGTTAGTTCAAAGACTATTTGGTGACCTGATACTCTGACACAGTGCTACTCCAAGCTGCTAGCCTGTGAACTCTTTTTTACTGGTCCAGAATGAGCTAATGCACTTGGTCCAGAATGTAAAGCATTATACTGTTTCATTCATGGGAAAAGGTCTTGGTATGAAAATGTTAACTGAAGGGGCGCCTGGGTGGCTCAGTCAGTTAAGCGTCTGCCTTTGGCTCAGGTCATGGTCTCAGGGTCCTGGGATCGAACCCAGTGTTGGGCTCTCTGCTCAGTGGGGAGTCTGCTTCTCCCTCTGTACTCTCTCTTTCAAATAAATATATGAAAATCTTTAAAACAAATGTTAACTGAACTGACTGTGCTTTGTGACATAGTTGATTTATATTCTGGAGCGCGCTCCTTACTTTGTACACTGGTCCGTGAACCACATTTTGAGCAGCACTAAGATGCTATATGAACAAATGAACAAATGAGACATTGAATCTGGATTGAATGGCTTTTCCAGGGCTGAGGTGGGAGGATGGAGAGGAGAATGGCGATGACAGTTTTCTCTTTCAGAGGGACTGCTTTTGAGCTACCCTACAGAGAGAAGCTTATTTAAGGCCACCATCGTCTGTACCATCATCAGTTCACTACGAAATGCATTTCCCCTCTTGCTTCTGCCCTTCTCCTTGTTCTAATCTTCTTTTTCCATGCGTTTGGCATGGGATTTAAAGAAAGAAAAATAATATATGAAAGCTCATTGTATGTTTTATATTTTGCACACAATTAAATACAATTCTCACCACAACTGGGTGTATTACTACTTTGTAAATGCTCAGAGGGTTTCAGTAACTTGGTCCTACATGTAATAAAGTGGCAGGCTTGGGCCTTGAACCTAGGTCTGTTTGGCTCTCTCCCAGGTGGTTTGGTCTTCTACTCTCATATCCGAAGAGGTACAAAGAGAATCCAGGTCCAGGACACCTAGGTGGCTCAGTCTGTTAAGCATCTGCCTTCGGCTCAGATCATGATCCCCGGGTCCTGGGACTGAGCCCCGCATCGGGCTCCCTGCTCGGCGGGGGGCCTGCTTTTCCTTCTGCCTGCCGCTGCCCTGCTTGGGCTCTCGCTCTCTATGAAAAAAAAAAAAAGAGAGAGAGAATCCAGATCCTGGGACAGAACTTGAAAAACGCCCACACTGACACACTAATGTTCCATTTTGGAACTCTGAGGTTCCATTAGTCTCCCAGTCCTGGCACCTTAATTGCCACAGTCCTGCCACACTGGCCACTTCTCTGCATTCGTTAGATACTTGTGTGTCCCTGTAGGTTGTGAATACCTTCATCTTATCATTTTTGTATCCCTCATGATAGGGTATGGGGCTTTAAAAACCATACATGTGATGGGTTTTTGCACTGAGTGTTATTAGTCTATAAACTTCTCTATGTGCCAAAGACAAATATTAGACGATTGAGAATGAGACTCCTAGACTGATGCTTTAAGAAGTTGTGATGTGAATCTGAGCATGTGTGTGGTCCTACAAAGTAGTGCACAGCGGTTCGGAGAAAGGCCTCAGACAGCCCATTCTTCTCCTGACACGCCCTCCTTGCTGTCCCCGGATTACGGGGTCTGGAACTCGTTACTAGTCTGTAACCTCCTCGAGGACAGGAACTGGGTCTTTGTTGTTTCTGCAGTGCCCAGCACACTCCCTGACACACAGTTCCTGGCACTTGAGAAATGCGTAGAATTACTGAATGTGCTCAGTTCAGCACTTGCTCTTCAACTGCTGTTGCTCGTGCTACTAATTACCATGTGGTTCTTTGATTACAAAGTGTATCTTCTTCTGCTCCTGGATTTCCTGGTCTTGATCTGACATTTTTTTCTTCCTTTTCTGCCTTTGCCAGCTCCTGTCTTGCGTCAGGCCCAATTCCACGACCAGAAGCACAGCGGGGAGGAAGGTGAGAGATGCTGCAACAATGATTAGAACTGTGCTGAAGGGTGAGGAAGCGATATGAAAGGAAGGCCGTGAGGCCTATGAGAAGGCAGGCAATGGGTGCAGACAGCCCACGCCCCACCCAGGCTTGCCTCCAGGAGCTGGAACCTGGCTCTGCTCAGCTACTGCCTAGCACATTCCCCCCATTGCTCCAATGGAGGAGCCAATTACACCTTTGATCTTCCTACGGATAGAGCAGTTCTTTCTTTGGACGCAGACTCAGGCCCTCAACAAGCACTGAATTGGACAACAGGTATGACATGTTGTCCACCAGGGAAGCTCATTAAAGATTCAGTGTCTAAGGTTTTTTTTGTGGCTCGTCATACAGGCAGGGGCCCTGCTTGACACATTCCCGAATTCCAGACTCCCAGAAGGAAAGCAGGTGTTCACTACAAACCATACTGTTTCTACAAACAGTTTAGGCACAGTGAGCTTCTTCTCAGTTTGGAAGGGCGGGAATCCTCTCGAAACTGAAGCCACCAGATGCCGGCCAAGAGCCAACCCTGTAGGCAGGTCTTTCTAAGGACAGCAGTCTCGGGTCTGCTATGTCAACTCCTTCTCCTCACCAGCTCAGCTTCAGATTTTTCTGTGGAGTTGGCTAAGGTGCCACCTTGACAGCCCTACATACCAGATGCAGGAGTGGTAGTCTTCATCATAGCTCTATTTATTCTGCAAAATTTAGACAGAGCCTGCAAGATAACAGTGGACTAAGGCAAATTCAATGGAGGAGGAGCCCCGACTACAGATGCTGCGCCAGATGTGACATCCTGCTAGAGCAGGTTAACATGGCTATGGGTACGTGGTACGTAACTACCTATCTGGTGGGCACATGTTTTTCCATCCCTGTAAAACAGAATCACAAACAGTTCACACTCACATGGAATGAACAACAAGGCCATGTAACTCTCTGGCTTCTACTAATATAACAGAAAGAGACCCAGACCAGGTAGATATCCTACAGAGAGTCACTGAGGTCACCAAACTGATGGATTATATTAATCCAATGGCACGAGCAAGATGTAACTTGTAAATCTGAGGCCTTGATAAAGTACATGTGCTCTAGAGGGTAAGATAAAAACCATGCACTCGGGGCACCTGGGTGGCTCAGTCGGTTAAGTGGCTGCCTTCAGCTCAGGTCATGATCCTGGGGTCCTGGGATCGAGCCCCATGTCCAGCTTCCTGCTCAGCGCAGAGCCTGCTTCTCCCTCTCCCTCTGCCTGCCACTCTGCCTACCTGTGCTCTCTATCTCTCTGTCAAATAAATAAATAAAATCTTAAAAAAAAAAAACCAAACCCCATGCATTCCAAAGCCTACCGTATCAGTAAAATTTGCGGGGAGGAGTGTCCAGGGAGCAGGGGCATGCTAAAATATCCCCTCCGAAGTAACAGACAAATTATTATGACCTACATCTCCCACTATAAAGAAGGGAGCACATTTCACACCTAAAAATACTGCTCTCAGCTGTCACACTGGGTGACACGAAAGGCTGCCAGTTTTGAGTGAAGCCCAAGCAGGAAAGGGCTCTAATATGGCACATCCATATTGTGGTAAAAGCAGGTCTGCCACTTGGGTCATCTAACGTAGCAGACCCTATGATATTAGAGGTATTGGTGGAGGGAAAAAGTGCAGAAGAAATGAAAGCAAAACCACAGTATATATACTCTTTATTTTTCTCTGCTCATTTTATTGGGTAACTGTATAAAACCCACATACATTACGGGAGAAAATATTTATTTTTCAAATGAATAATGCATTCTTCACTCCTCAATTATTTCTGTAATATTTTACCCTTTTTAAAAACTAAATATATATTTTAATACACTTCACCTTTTCCCAAAGACTGTGGTATAATTGTGATTATCTTTAGCAACCAAAGTCTATTTCTAGCGATTTAAACTTGATATGGAGAAAAATGCCATGTCAAGTCCTTTGTACCTGATTTGGTGCTGAGGTTTAACTGGTGTATTGGTTTGTTCCAGGATCCAGAGGCTACTCTAAGCTTTAAAGCAAAGTGAAACCCTTAGGCTGGCCTCAGCTGCCTGAGGCATCTCTGGATGGGGTGACTGGTTTGCCCTGCACAGGACCGTTTCTCCCTGGGCTAGGCTGGAATATCTGGAACAGAGGACTGAGGTATTTACTGTGTCTAGGCTAGGCATTTGTTTGGGGTGGCGGGTGAGGAGAACCCTATTTCTTATGTCCGATTTTTATTGGTAATCATTTCTCCATAAGAATAAAGAGCAAATGGGTAGCTCCGGGTCTTTGATGATACCAATATTTTGTTCTCAGTCACCTATCTCTCAGTGATACTAAGCCCAATGACAAAGAAGACAAGGGCTGAGTTCACTGTGAACACAAGTGGTAAAAGTGACTGTGGCAACTGTGACCAAGGCTCCAACTGGGCTTTGACTCTTGGAAAGGTCTCTCAGGCTGGAGTCATTCTAAGCAGCCAGTAGAGAGCCAGAATTTGGATGTACTGTGTTTGGATCGATCCTACTTTTCTTCACTGTCCACTGACTTTAATTTTTATACTCAAAATAAGTCTCCATCTCTATCACAGTATCTCTATAAAACCTAAGATCACACCCAAACTTCCCCTTCGAATGTCCGTTATTAATTCGAAATTAAATAACTAAAATAAATAATGGGTAGCTAATGAGATTTTTTTCTAGGTAGTGAAAAGATATGACCTCAGTGTTTCTTCTTAATATAATTCTGACCTCTGAAATGTGGGAAGGTTCCCATTTAGAGGGAAGGTTTGGAATCCTACATAAAAATATAACATGCATTAACACGTAGAAAATTCTTGAATACAAAGAAAATTCAAGTGACCATATCCTTACTGATATTAATATAACACAAAATTTCCATGAATATGTTAGCACAAAATGCAATTCATTTCTAGTTGACACAATGAAACAATTGATACTCAAATTCTAACTACTATAGCATAGACATCTGAACAAGGTTTGAATACGTACATGCGTTTCAAAGTAGAATTTGGCTGTGGGCTGGTAATTTTTATTCTAATCCACAGTATTTTTGATTCTTAATTTCAGTTGTTCTTAATAAGAAATTAGAAGAAAAGCTAAATTTCTGACACTTAGATAAAAAATTAGCTAAGGGTTCTTCTTTTGTATATTCAGTTAGAAGCTATTCTAAAGCTGCTGCTTTACCTTCTTTCTTTAAACAAAAGTGTTTGGATAGTATACTTTCCTAATTACAGGAAAATATTCTAACCCTTTCTCCAAATCCTATCGCAATTGGAAGAGCCGTATCATTATCTTTTAATGATTTCACCTATATTTTGTATTTTAGAAATGTCAGCAATATTACTTTCTGTAAAATAAAAAGGAGCATTAAAAATATTCAGCTAGTACTAGCGTCTAGATTTTGAAGACGTTCCTTTATAATGAAACAAAATGTTCAGAACAACTGTCCACAACCAACTTTTAAAAATCAGATTTAGTACTCTTTTTCACTTTTTAAACCAATGTGGGCTTATATCAAAGTGTTCCTAGAGGGGAGGAACGATGTACCGTACTGAAAAACTGAGACCTTGTCAGAGGTCTTCTCAACCTGGTTCTGAACAACTTTATAAGCCAACAGATCTGTACCATATGCGATTCTCAGGGTCAGGACTATGGGATGCTATGTAAAAAAAATATTTTGGTATTACAAGTAACAAAAGCACCTTGGATTGGATCCAAGATAGACATGTGTTATAAATGAATTCTGCTTTATAGTAAAATACATTTAAAGTATAATTCAACATACTTACCATAAAGCATACATAAGTAAAGGTACTCCTTTGAAGCCAAAAATCTGATGCTGCTGAAGCAGAGTCCAGTTCCTACTACCATTGCTGAATGTGACTAATTTGATATCATTTCCTAAGTCCTGTGGAATCTTCTTGATCTTTTAACATCTTACGATAGTGACCTGGCACTAGTTTAGCTCTATAAAAACATAATTGTCACAAATCACACAAAAACATGATAACTAGCACACATTTCTGTACATCTTCAAAAAAAATCTTTGGGTAACAACTAAATGCATAATGCTATGGGAGATCCAAAGAAGCACTCTAAATGATGGATAATATTTAATGATGGCAAATGAGAATTATTTTCTAAAAAGCTGTACCAATGTTAATTTTAGGTAGAACATAACATGGAATTATTTCATGAAATATAGTCTCTTTCTATGCTCTCCTGACAACACTCCCAACAGAAAGCTTCCAGTCTATTTGCTGTTTCTTGGCTGATGAGACATTCATCTTTTAATTCCCTGATTGTCTTCCTCAATGATTTTTGGAAACGTTTTTCTCGGTCTAAAACATTCCGCAGACTTTTCTTGGTATCCTCTAGCTCGCTGATCACATGATCTAATTTATGCTTAAGTTTCTTTGGACTGTCCATTACACTGTAGCTATGTTCCTAAAAACATAAACACCAAGTTATTAAATCAGAGAGACAAGTAGTTAACATAAAAGCTTATAGCTAGGCTGTTCTTCCATTCACAATGCTTAGATATCTTTAAGTTGGTGATACTTAGAGGTTTAAAGAACACAGGAAGAAGATGCAGGTAAAAGCAGTATTTTGGGTGCCTAGTGCCTCCCTCCTTTATCTAAGGCTAGGCGTAACATGAGGGGTACAGAATCTACAGAGGGGAGGCGCTGCTCCTTGGGGGGTAAATATCTGCTATGAACATGACACTTGTAATGACTATCCAGCTTTCATTCCCTAGGTGTAGGGCCACTAAGTTTATGTTTTACCTACCAACAAATCTTTAATCATTACACTTTCAACTATTTTATTTTATATTGATGAATATTCATGTTAAAGGAGATGACAGAAAAGGAGCACTTGAGCAGGTCCTCAGGCTGAGTGTTATATATTTAGAGAGGACTCTGGTTTGGGGCTTTTAGAGAGAGAATTTAAGCTCTCTTGATATTTACTATGGCTATGCTTAAGTTTGCTGGGTATACTTTTTTTTCATTTGAATATAGGGAAAGTAACAGTGACATATCTTAAAAAGGCACTATAAAATAATCTTGAAAAGTTGTTATTTAATATTAAAATTAGCAAAGAGGACTTTTGCTTGTAGCCAACATGAAATAACAGAGATTGGATGGATTCCTCTCTAAAAAACCCAACACGTGGCTAAAAGGCATAAAAAA